TTGTTATATCAAGTTTATGCACCCAGTTGTGTGTAATAATAATAAAAAAAATAAAAAAATTTAAAAAAAAGAGTGTGTTAGAAGGCAGCCGTGAGATGACGTTTTCGTGGCCAAATGAAACAGCCAATCGGAGGAGAGCCAATCAGAGGCGAGGAAGGCGGTACCTTCCCCTACTCCGGCTGTCGCGCGCGCCCAACCTCTGCGCGTGCTGAGTTCAGAATTTCTCGAAAATTTTAGATTTGCACTTTTACTATCATTTTTGTCTAAGTTGATTTATTTAATTACCAAACGCGACAAATGTTAGTTGCAAATGTATACTCAATACATCTCAACGCAGATAATTTACAGTAACTGCGTCCAAATACCAGAAATTTTGATTCACTGTATTGTCATTAAAGGGTCTATGTTAGACTGTTTTTTGACAACTGTCGTTTCCAGGAGCAAACCTTCTTTAGTTAGATGATCTAATCTGCACACGAGGCATCCTACAATCAGATCATACCAACCGTTTCCAGATACTTTTATACAAGTTCTACACTGCACCGGATTATTACATAAAATCTATTGTATAAATACACTCAATTTTACAATGTATCAACTATAACGTAGGAAAGAGCATTGTAGTCAGTGAAAAAAAAAAAAATCTGGAGGGGGGAGGGGAGGGGGGATTATCTCGTAATTACGAGATACTATCTCGTAATTACGCTCTCTAGCATCAGGATCCGCAGCGGATCCGCTTTCGGTCCGCCAAATCCGCCCCACAGTCCGTCCGCTTTGCGGATCCGCTGCATATTTGTTCCGTATTCGCTTTCTGACTGTTGCTAACCCTAACCCTTGGATGGCCTGCTGTTACAGAGAGAGAATATGCGGTTAAATCATCTTAGATCCGCACTTTGAACGTACTTTTAACACAATACTTTGTTTTTGACACAATGATTTGTACTATCAATGCGCGGATTCGCGGCTAAACCGGCTTTCCACCTGAATGGAAAGAAGCAGCATCCACCTGTTGTCCGCGGATTTAACTGTAAGTAATAGTTTAAAAGTTAATTGTATTAGTCATCATTAATGTACATAACGTTAACGTTATATTGTGGTGTCTGTACATTTGTGACTGTGTTTTATCAGTTTTGACACGTGCAGTAGGAAAGTTAGCGACAGTAGCAGCTAACGTGATGAAGACGACGTGAGGTCAGGAGTCAGGATAACTCCGTCTCTTGAGGTAGATCCCAGTCTAAATACTATTTTTTATATAACGCTACTTATATTCTTGTATATTTTTACGATCATAGAGAATTGTAATTCTGCTCCGTGATCATTGGTCGTGTGTCTAACGGGCTCGGTTCTGGCTGGATGCCGCTCTCGGCGCTCTCCCTTCGGCTGTGGAGCGACGGTGACACCGGTGTCTGATCTGGTTGTTTTTAACCAGAGATAATTATTATTTGTGTAGACTAGAGTGTTGACTGTTGAGTTGAGACTAAAGTGCATCCCCATCAGGAGCCCGGCACGCTGATCAGAAGTAAGTACTTTTAATAATTTTTGTGACAGTGAAGATTTAGTTTAGAGCCAGATCTGACTTTGTCTCTAACTTTCTGTTATGGGACTTGAGACGGTGCTTCAGACTTTCAGTGAGAGATGTTGACATGAACACTAATGTGTCACATCTATATTACACTGATATTGACTATTAACACCATCATAAATTGATTATTATATTTTAAATGTTGTGGTAAAAGTAAATGTAGTAAAGTATTGTGTATTAACAGCAGTGAAATATGTCTCATTCCCTCTGCTGGGCCAAGTTCCAAAAATGTAGAGACAGACCGCGGATCCGTCCGTCAAAATAAACCCAGATCCGCGGCGGAGGCACGGCTGATCCGCTGCGTATCTCGCGGATCCGCCCGGGACCCGTTTTGGATCCGCTTTCGGAACCGGGTTATCTGCCCCGGATCTGCCGCGGATCTTTTTATTATGTCGTGAGGAGCCTAAATATGCTTCAGATTTAATTCTGATCCACTTCCTACTGACCTAAATACACATCAGCAGCATTTGCATTGTAATTGTACATAAACCTTTTACAGCAAGTATTAAAACTAGGATATAAAGGCTTAAATTTAAAAACATAAACTTAAACAATTTCAAAGTTGGATCAGTGATATCCTATCACTAAATCTCATTAGTTAAGAAAAAAAGAAACTTTTTTTTTTTACATTGTAAACAATATTTATATAAATCATTAATTAGAAATCTTAGGACATGAATAATTATTATTAATGTTATAGGACTTATATACCCTTTGAGTTAACCAATGCTTCATTCTTAATATGAAAATGACAATTTACAGTTTTTACTAAAAATAGTTCAAGTTAAGCAAAGTTTTTGTTTTTTTTTAAATGGCAAAAAACAAATATAAGCTATATGAGTAAAAGCCTGGACAGATGAGACAGAGTGTAGCCATACCATACTGTTTAAAACTAAAACTTAACTTGTGTTTACCACCACAGTACAATTAGACGGATGGTTGTTCTTATAGAGTGTGCAGTGTGGGAGCTTCAGAGCCTCTGTCTTTAGCTTCAGTCTGAGGCAGAGGTTTTGAGGCAGAGGTGTAGTGAGTCTGGCTCCTCTTCAGTCCTACTGGTGAAGATCCAGTCTGTCAGTGTCCAGCTCTGGACTTCCCCTTTCTCACAGCATCTGAAATGACACCAGTGTGTATTAAACATCCCATTACACCTCTTATTCTTGTAAGGAGTTAGAGTTCAGGTTTGTTAAGAACATTGTAAGCCATGACAGTGGCTGTGTGATTTGAACATGAAAGGTGAATACCTGATTGGAGAGATCTGTGCACTTACAGAGGGTCAGTCTTTAAACTCAACCACAGCATGTTCTGAAAGAAACAATATGCACAACAACAGGTGTGATTATAATGTGCATATGTTTAGTTATGAAAGTTAATAAAAGTAGGATAATACAGTAAACTTACAGAGGGTCTGTCTCTACATTTTTGGAACTTGGCCCAGCAGAGGGAATCCTGTAATACATCAAATAAGAGAGAGAAACACAAATATCAGTTTGGATCATTTCAGGCCACAGTGTTTAATCCAAGTGCAGTATTTACCTCCAGAGGGTCTTTATAATGCTGTTATGTCCATCTTCTTATTAACCATAGTATATTCTGAAACTGAGATGAAAAACATGATTTAACTCATAGGAAATACTTTAGCGCAGTAAAACTGAACTCTTTTGTTTTAGTATAAGCCTGAGTATGAACATGAGACATATTTCACTGCTGTTAATACACAATACTTTACTACATTTACTTTTACCACAACATTTAAAATATAATAATCAATTTATGATGGTGTTAATAGTCAAATATCAGTGTAATACAGATGTGACACATTAGTGTTCATGTCAACATCTCTCACTGAAAGTCTGAAGCACCGTCTCAAGTCCCATAACAGAAAGTTAGAGACAAAGTCAGATCTGGCTCTAAACTAAATCTTCACTGTCACAAAAATCATTAAAAGTACTTACTTCTGATCAGCGTGCCGGGCTCCTGATGGGGACACTCAGCAGAAGGACAGGGGCTCCTGATGTCATCTGGGGAAAAACAACATAAGTTTTGGTTGGTTAGCTATAACGTTAGCTGTTGTTAAAAGTTGTGCTTTTTATTACGTTACGTTATTGTATTATGGCACGTTGCGTTAAATTATTGTATTAAGGCACTGACATGACTGCACTTTAGTCTCAACCCAACAGTCAACACTCTAGTCTACACAAATAATAATTATCTCTGGTTAAAAACACAACCAGATCAGACACCGGTGTCACCGTCGCTCCACAGCCGAAGGGAGAGCGCCGAGAGCGGCATCCAGCCAGAACCGAGCCCGTTAGACACGACCAATGATCACGGAGCAGAATTACAATTCTGTGATCGTAAAAAAATATACAAGAATATAAGTAGCGTTATATAAAAATAGTATTTAGACTGGGATCTACCTCAAGAGACGGAGTTATCCTGACTCCTGACCTCACATCGTCTTCATCACGTCAGCTGCTACTGTCGCTAACTTTCCTACTGCACGTGTCAAAACTGATAAAACACAGTCACAAATGTACAGACACCACAATATAACGTTAACGTTATGTACATTAATGATGACTAATACAATTAACTTTTAAACTATTACTTACAGTTAAATCCGCGGACAACAGGTGGATGCTGCTTCTTTCCATTCAGGTGGAAAAGCCGGTTTAGCCGCGGATCCGCGCATTGATAGTACAAATCATTGTGTCAAAAACAAAGTATTGTGTTAAAAGTACGTTCACAGTGCGGATCTAAGATGATTTAACCGCATATTCTCTCTGTAACAGCAGGCCATCCAAGGGTTAGGGTTAGCAACAGTCAGAAAGCGAATACGGAACAAATATGCAGCGGATCCGCAAAGCGGACGGACTGTGGGGCGGATTTGGCGGACCGAAAGCGGATCCACTGCGGATCCTGATGCTAGAGAGAGCGTAATTAGGGATAGTATCTCGTAATTACGAGATAATTCCCCCTCCCCTCCCCCCGTCCAGATTTTTTTTTTTTTTTTCACTGACTACAATGCTCTTTCGTAATAACGACTGTGTGCAGGTTTTTATTTAACATTTCACTCATGTACAGTCACTTTATTTATGTCGGCTCCCTTGTGATGAAAAGACTGAAAGATGTAAATCATTCTCATTTCTTTTTTTTTTTTTCTTCTTTTTTTTATAAATTGAAAAGTAAAGCAGTATATACATAATGCAGTGTACAAAGAACTGTGCTTTACATTCAAGAACTGCATCGTACAAAATTTACAAATAATATAAATAATAAGTAAAGTAATAAAAAAAAAGGAAGGAGGGGGAAATAAAAGAGGACAGGAAAGGAGGAAACGCTCTACTTTCACACTAGGAGGGGTCAGAGTTTAAGTGAAAACATTCAAAGCTGTACAGATTTCTACAGTATCGACTACCTTCTGTTTAATAGTAAATCATTCTCATGAGACTCGCGCAGTAGTGGAGATGATGTGCTTGTTGTAGTCTGTTTTCTGGGAGTTGTAGTTTTGACTAGTTCCTGCTGCTGGTTTGGAGGATCTGGATCCACCTAGAGCTTCGATAGCTCCTTCTCCTCTCTGCTCTTCCTCCTCCTTGGTCCTTATAGTCGACCTCAGCTTTCAGGGGTCAGTGATAATGTTATTAATGATTGTAAATGTCTGCTTTATGTGTTTATACTGTATATTTTTTTTATATATATGTATCAAAAATGTAATAATAACAATAATAATAACAATACTACTACTACTACTAATAATAATAATAATAATAAAACAAGAAGGACGAATAAGGAAGGAGGTATCTTAGCCCATTTTCGGACGGAGCCAAAGGCTCTACGTCATCATTCTGCGACAGCCCACATGCTCGCTTTTTCCTGTAAGTATTCATTCACTTTTTTACTTTTCAGTTTTTCAAAACTGGGCTACAGTATTTAATTTGGGCTGTTTATTTGGAATGCTTTTTGTTTTTGTTTAACCCCTCGCAAGTGGTACATATATGTAGCCCAGTGAAATGTCCTCTGTCCCTCTGTAGTCCAGTGAAATGTCCTCTGTCCCTCTGTAGTCCAGTGAAATGTCCTCTGTCCTTCTGTAGTCCAGTGAATGTCCTCTGTCCCTCTGTAGTCCAGTGAAATGTCCTCTGTCCTTCTGTAGTCCAGTGAAATGTCCTCTGTCCCTCTGTAGTCCAGTGAAATGTCCTCTGTCCTTCTGTAGTCCAGTGAAGTGTCCTCTGTCCCTCTGTAGTCCAGTGAAGTGTCCTCTGTCCCTCTATAGTCCAGTGAAGTGTCCTCTGTCCTTCTGTAGCCCAGTGAAATGTCCTCTGTCCCTCTGTAGTCCAGTAAAATGTCCTCTGTCCCTCTGTAGTCCAGTGAAATGTCCTCTGTCCTTCTGTAGTCCAGTAAAGTGTCCTCTGTCCCTCTGTAGTCCAGTGAAGTGTCCTCTGTCCTTCTGTAGCCCAGTGAAATGTCCTCTGTCCTTCTGTAGTCCAGTAAAATGTCCTCTGTCCCTCTGTAGTCCAGTGAAATGTCCTCTGTCCTTCTGTAGTCCAGTAAAGTGTCCTCTGTCCCTCTGTAGTCCAGTGAAGTGTCCTCTGTCCCTCTGTAGTTCCATCTTTGGACCAGGTGTGCGGTGCTGAGAGGGTGTGTCTGGTGGTCGTGGCTCCTCATTGGTCGGTCTTATGATGAGTGACAGTGAGGAGGACGTGCCCACTCTGTCCACTCACACTCTGGCTGCGCTGCAGGAGTTTTACGCTGAGACACTGGGCGTCCAGAGCCTGGACCCTGAACCGACCCAGCAGTTTGCAGTGGGAGCCCTGGGGGAGGACTGGGTAAAAGCTCAACTGTGTTCAACTCACATCATTTCTACAACTACAATTAGACGTAGAACTTTTTTAGAAGTCCCCACTATTTCCAACATTTTCTCTTGAGAGCAGTGTCACAGTGACCAGATTGAAGCTTTCAAGCCTTTATTATTTGACATGTTGATGATAATGGAAACTCTAATTTTCTGTGTCTCAGAAAATTTGAATATAATGTGAAAGTAACTATATATATATGTATATTATATGTATATTATGTTTGTATGTGTCCATTTTCCATATGGATACAAATATTCATATGAATACATCTATTTGGTTTTAGCCATAGAAATTATATACATTAATATATACAATTATATATACAACTAAGTTTACCTAAACAGATTAGCATATAAATATACTGATTATATTTCTCCCAGGTGTTTAAAAACTTCTCATCTCTTTTTATACTTTTCTTTCTCTTTGTCCATTTCAATTGTATAATCTTCCCAGGTTAAGTATTGGTAAATATATGTTTAAAAAATAGTTAATATTAACTGATAATCGATTTTTTGCTTTGAAAATAAAACTTTTTTCCAGGGTAATAATTAAATTAACAAGATGAATTCTATTTTTAAAGTCTCCCTGTAAGGTAGAGGCTAAATCCAACTTAAAAACCAAACCCAGCTCTAAACACATCTTCTCTGTCTCACTCCAAAATGAAGAGAAAATATGGCAGCACCAAAACAGATGTTCAGAGGACTCCACTTCCAAAAAGCAAAAACAACATTCATCAGTGTCTGTCATACTCCAAATTTTTTTACATTTTCCGTGTGGGCAGAAAATTATATATAATTTTGATTTGAAAAAATCTATTTTGCACGTCAATACTGGTTTCATAAATTAATTAATAATAATATTAATAATACCTTTTAAACTGCCTATCCTCAACATTTTACATTTATTATAATTCAACTTTATTTTACTGAGAAAAGGATTTCAAAAGGAGATGAGATTTAGGAATAATAATATTAATAAGGAAATTTGTGTCATCAGCATACATTGTTATTTTTGTTTCTGTGTTGTTATTAATAAGTCCTTCAATATTTGTATTCAATCTAACTTTAATAGCTAATATTTCCATTGCAATAATAAATAAATATGGTGACAACGGACAACCAACTATTAAGTGCATAGAAATGAACATACTTTTCAGAAGCCTGACATTTGTGTTTAAAATGTAATTTTTATTGATTTTATGTAATATTGATATTTTCTGACACAGAATTTTGGGTTTCCATTATCTATTAGCCATAATCATAAGAATTCAAGAAATAATGTCATGACTCTATACAATATATGGGCCTGGTCAAGCAGAAGTAAACAGCAAGGCCAAAAATTCAAGTTAATGCATCTGATATAAAAATGTATTGAACAGATACATATGTACTCTAGTTTATGAAACTGTTGACCTTTTTTCTATACCATTTTTGGTTCTAAAGTTCCATATGTTTTAAACAGACCATGTATGAAACATGGAACAAAAATTATTTCCCAAATTTCAAAGACCTGCAAATCATGTAAATAAATGGATGTATTTCATCATATCTTGTGTTATTCCATCTTTGAACTGTTGATGAAGGTACATGATTTAAAAAAAAAAAGTATTTAAAATGATAAAAATTTGCTTGGAAGGAGTGACATATTTTATAGAAATAGTTTCCTTTCATTTTGAAGTAATATTAAAGTATTCGGAAGAAAAAAAGCGACAAATTATACAAAATCATGCACCTTCTACTTGCTTGCACAATTTTCCCTCCGTTACCATGACCTTTCTTAATAAAAAATCTCATGAGTCAAAATGTAAGAGGTTTTTCAACCTAATCTTGTACCATATGGTAGAAAAACTATATGAAGCAAATATTCAAACCAGTTTGTTAAGGATATGTAAGTGAGAACCAAGAGTTATCACTGTTTGGATTTATTGCGCAAAAAGTGCTGCATATTTCATTCCCTCCGTTACCGTCTTGAGTTTTTTAAACTTTTTGTTAACATCTTGAAAGAATATCACAGGTTTAACTTTACCCTGTTGGAGTGTAACTCTTTCCTACATTCTGATACTTTACTTATTTCAATAGTCCCTCTAGTTTCTGAATAAGAACTATTTCAATGTCAAAAATCTGCCCGTTTCCCTCCGTTACCACTTGACCGAACCCATATGGGTCTGACTTTCTGAAATGAGAGACACAAAATATTGAACTTTTTCATCATTCTGAAACTATTCAGGAAAGGTTTATTTCTGTCCTTTTGAATGGGACTTTTTAAGCCCTGATACTTGCTCAAAGTTTAGATAATACTTGTTTTAGTGTCAGTACCGGTATTAGTTTTAGTATGACAATCTACTGTAGAATCCCTATTGTTCAAACTGAGCTAGTCTGATTGCAGATTTGTTGACCTGGTTTATGGTTAATATCTCTGTAAATCCTGTTAATATAACAAGTATGTAGAGTCAGTTCATAACAAATGCTGATAAGGTTCAACATTTGTGGATCTATGGACATTTCTTTCAAAAACTCTCATAATTATATTGTGTTTTCTCCCCCATTCAATGTATATCATATTTTCTTTAGAATTGCTACTCATCATAACAGTCCATTTTTAAACTGTATTGTGATGATGTGTGTGTACAGGGCCTGAGTCAGTTCTGGTACAGTGAGGACACGGCCAGGCAGCTTGCAGAGGAGCTGGTGCAGGAAGCAGGGCCTGGAGGAAGGTACAATATGGTTGCTGTATTTGACATAGTTTCTTCAGCTTCAAAAACTTTAGAAACGTATTTGTGTGTGTTGCTCAGGATAGCATGTGTGAGCGCGCCCAGTGTTTACCAGAAGCTGAAGCAAGGTGTGGTGGCTGGGTCAGAGGACGTGTCAGTGCAGCTGCTCGAGAATGACCGTAGGTTTGCCTCGTACGGCGACGACTTCATCTTCTACGACTACCATCAGCCCCTGGCTTTGCCCGCCCACGTCCACCCGCACAGCTTTGATGTGGTCCTGGCTGACCCGCCGTACCTGTCCCACGAGTGTCTGAGCAAAGTGGCTCAGACGGTGCGTTACTTGAGCAAAGGCAAAGTGCTGCTGTGCACTGGTGAGAAGAGATCAGAAGTAGAAATAATAGTGGAATGTAGAAGTAATATTGGATTGTAACTCACTGTAGGTGTTTTGAAAAGATACCACATAAATTCAATGGTTAGTTTCTTACATTTTCTAGTGCTGGTATTCTTGCAGTAGTAGTTTACGGCTGGTTATGCAGAGTATGTAAACTGTCTGTGCTCTTGTAGGGGCAGTGATGCAGAGTACAGCCAAAGAGTTGCTGGATGTGGACATGTGTGACTTCCTCCCTCAACATCACCGTAACCTCTCCAATGACTTCCGCTGCTACACCAACTACCCCTCTTCTGGGCTGTCGGCCGGGGCCCCCTCCGGGAACACTTAAGTGCAGTGCACTCACAGGCCCAGTCATGGCAGGACAACACTCAACCTCTGGGACGATACGATTATTGAAAGAAAAAATGGCTTCAACGTGACCATCTTTTATTTTTATTATTATTATTATGATTATTATTATTATTATTATTATACGTAACACTTGTGTAGCTCTTTTCTAGATAATCAAAGACGCTTTACATGAACCAAACAAAGACAAACAAAAGAAATAAGACAGTTAATGAAAGGTGGTTTTAAAGAGATGGGCTTTCAGGGCTTTTTTTAAACATGGGGAGTGTGGATGAGTGTCTGATGTGTTTTGGGCAGGAAGTTTCAGAGGGTGGGGCAGCAGCGGAGAAGGCCCTGTTCCCCCAGGTCTTGTGCGACAGCTGATCGGAGGGCACGGGTGGGGGTGCGGTGGTGGAGGAGCTCAGAGAGGGAGATGGGTGGGGGCCAGGTTATGGAGGGATGGTGAGGAGTTTGAAGTGGATGCACTGGGGGACGAGGAGCCAGCGGAGATCTCTGAGGACAGGGCTGATGTGTTCAAGGGAGGAGGTGCGGGTGAGGAGGAGGTGCGGGTGAGGAGGCCGGCAGCAGAGTTCTAGATGTACTGGAGTCTTTATAGCATCATTCCTCCCTGGGTGTGGACCTCAGACTGCCTCAGACTTGGAGAACTTACAAATATGTGACAGCAAACGTCCAATGCCAAATGTGAGGCATTCAGAGACTTGAATGTCTCACATTTGGTTCAAACACATGAATGAAAAGACTGAACATGTCATTTAAAAACATGTTGGGAACAGTCAGCACACACACATTTCAGGTGATTATTTGCTTCTTCATGTATGAAGGGTAATCTCAGATTAATGTCATGTGTCAGTCTACTGTACATAAATTGTCTATTGGTTTTGGCGTTCCAATTATTCCATTATGGTTAGTGCTGGTCAGAGGAGTAGTTCAGCATTATAACTTATGTTGTAAAAAGCCTGTAGGATTTCATATGTGACAGCAAATGTGGCAGAGGATTTTCCAGAAGAAACGAGAGAGAATGACCCATTTTATCTCCAACCAAAACACCAGATTGAAATAAGAACAAGGCCTTTCCTTTTGTGTAGTGATAAGATCTGGTGTCTCTCTCTCATATATTTTATAGCTAACAATAAGATTAAGCGTAGTACAGAACCAACAACATTTATTAGAGAATTACGAGTTGATGGAGTTAACACCTGTGCATTTAGATCCAGCAGAACACAGAAGAGCTGCTTGACCAGTCTCTAGGAGTGACCCTCAGACCGTGCTGCCCTCAGATGCTGTTGCCCTGTGGGGCCCTGGGCTCCGGCTCCATGGTTGGCACACACGTGCAGCCTACAGCCACAGAGATGTAGTCCTCGCTGTAGGTGTGACGCCCACCCACACATGGGCCATTCCTCCTCAGCACCACGGCTGGAGCGAAGACGGGAACACTGCGGAAGTCTGCGCTCTCCTGTCCATATGGACCAATCAGACAGCCCCTGCACAGGCAGTATGCCTCTGGAATGGAGCGCGGGTACCGGGACGAGTCCTGAGACATCCTAAAGCACAAAAACAACTTCTCAGCAGCACATTATTTACAGAATTATGCACATTATATACTGTATTCTTTAACATGTATGAGCAATCTGTAGTTCTGGATTACAAAAAGCCAACTGTGAATTATGTTCTTCAATAAGTTATGACAAAATTGCAGAGAAAACAAATGATAGACATTTAATTTAGAAAAAGTGTCTCTTAAGTTTTGATAGTACATGAAATGGAATTTTCAAACTGTTTACCAAGATGTCTTGGTTAGATTGGACTGTCTAAGTAGAACGTTTGTGGAACCTTCACGTCTCGGTTTAATAAGCGTTTAACGAATTACTAAGCAGGTTCTGTTTTGTGGAGTGGGGAGCAGTGTTTATCACAGAGAATCCCACTTCCTTGATTCGCCGTTAGATGTCAGTAAAGGACCAGAGTAACCGGGGTTTTGGCTTTTGCTCAGTGATGGTTCGTCTCCGCTAGAACCATGGCAGATAGTTCATATAGTGCTCGAGTGTGACAGCCCCCACGCACTAACCTGTAGGCCCATGGCGAGATGCTGAGCAGGTTGACCGGGAGCCGGGGCCCTGAGGCGGCTGAGGCCCACGCGGCGAATGGGCAGCTGGCGTTGTGCTGCTGCTGAGGGTTCTGCTCCAGCTGCAGCGCGTGGTGGAAGGCGCTCATGATTCCCACTGTCAGCCGGCCGTACATCTGCTCCAGGATCTCCTCCGGGAGGGGCAGGCACCCGCGGCGCACAGGAGGCTTCTTACGGATCAGTCCGGCCCCAGAGACGGTTCCAGGGACAAACCCCGGGCCCGCAGACAGAAGCAGGAGCCAAGCGGACAGCAGGGCAGACAGGCTCGGTCTACGCAACAGCATCGCACTTTGAAAAAACACAAAACACAGCGCACAATGACGACAAACCTCTACACGTGGCATTTAGCTTACAAGATACGAAGTTTTATAGTAGAGACCTTTCTGAGATTCCATGACAAACAACAGTGTAATTAATAAGAAACTTTGGTTCTTGCCCGCATCTGAAAGAATGGCATGACCACATTCTGAAACCCAGTAGGCCACTGTAGGGGTCCAAAGCAGGTGCGCCGGTGACGCACGAACTACTCACCCGAGTGCGCTCCTCACTGATGTATTCCAGGATGTTATGTCCCCTATGTCCAACAAGGAACACAACGTGTATAAAACAACCCTTGAGGCAAAGTCAGTTTGGCAGATATTTTATTTGACAGCCAAACCTTCATTAAAGTGCACAAAAAAATGAACAAACGGTTGGTGGGAGGAGGCGTGGGCCAGTTGTGCCAAATCAACAAACAAAAAGGTATACCAAAACAGGCCCTAACTGAAAACTAGGCTACAAAAAGGAAAGAAATCAAAAGCCTAGCCTACCTGGTCTAAAAAAGAGAATTTGGAAAACTCAAAACAACAAGGGTGGCAACAACTGATAACTAGTGTGTCTAACAACAAAAATCTACGTGATGAAATGTACAGGGATCCCCAAACTTACCTAACCAATCCTCCCAACCAAACAAACCTGGGCTAGCAGCCATATACACAGAGGAGAGAGAGAGAGAGAGAAAGAGGCAGCACACAGCTCCTTTTAAATGGCCCTCTCCACTCTGATTGGCAGCCAGCTGGCCAATCAGCTCCAGTTCCGGTCACACCCACAGCACCTGAACACACAGGGCAGAGGAGAGAGCAGTACAAAAACAAAACAAATGCCTGCATGTAACACAGGACATGTGGCGCGGTGAAGTCTCGCTGGGAAACGGGCCACGCAGCTCCTTCTGAGCCGAAGGTATAACGGGACATTTCCGTGAGACGTGGGCTGGACCATTCGAATAACACTAGCCACGACAGGGTGAGGAAGCGGGGAGGGAGAACGGTAAGGAGAAGAAAGAGGAGAGGAAGGGAGGAAGTAGTAAAAGAGGAGGGAAGGATGGGTGAGGGGGAACGGGTGTGGGGTGTCATGAGACAGAAACAAGTGAGATATGGGAGTGAGGGTGAGGAAGAGAGGTGAAGGAGGAAGAGAGGTCACAAAGACGAGGGAGGAGAGGTAAAGAAGAGGTGAGGAGAGGGATGGGGTGAGTGAGGAGGAGGGGGTAAAGGCATTGACTGAATCAGGAAGAATATGTTTCCCTTGTTCTGTTTAGAATTACTGACACAGAGAGGGCGCTCATCACTTTACTTCAAACTTCAACACTAGAAGCTGCAATTGCTGCGAAGAGCAAAAGAAGAAGCAAAACAAAAAAGAAAGAAACCACTTTTATTGTGGAAAATAATGAAAATAATGCCCCCCCCCCAAAAAGAAAAAAAAAAAAAAAACTACAGGAAACCAAATGAGGTAGAAATACAGGTGAGAGCACTTGTGATCTATGCTGTGGACAGGGACTACTCAGGCAGCAGGTCGTCCCCCAGTTCCTCGTCCTCAAAGTCCTCCTCCTGACGCTTCTTGGCTCCAGTCTTGGGCCTATCCACCTGTGGTCCCAGGGGGTCCACATAGGATGCATCTGCGCACACGCGACAATTCCAGTGGGAACAAAAAGATGGGATTGTATGTGAGATAAAAACATCTTTCTTTCTTCCACCCTCCCATGTCTCTATCCCATCCTCCTGCCTCTACGCCCCCAGGTACAAGGCTAAACTAAATTAGACTAAATTTTGACACTTAAATGTAAAGACCTTGACATCATTCACCTATCGTTTCACTTCTCAAAACGAGCTGATATCCAATCACTGAACAGAAAGCAAGACCCACACCATGGACTGCCAGATCCTATTGCTCAGTGACTCCAAAACTGGTCAGGTGGTTCATGAGAAAATTATAAAATGTCATAAAAATGTATACTGTAAATATTGTTTTGAAAATGTAAGCTGCACACAGCAGAGGCACAAGCTCATAGACCGAAGGGAGAGGGGAGATGAGAGCAGGAGACAGGTGAGTAGGGCGTGCCCTGTCATAAGCATCCTATCTTGAATAGAAAAAGCTAATTTTGTCCATGTAAAGTCCCTATGACTTACCATGAAGCTCAGAAATGTAAAGAGGAATGATGTAACAAAAATGCACTTAAGTTAATAAAATCTACTATAAACCTATGAATCTCTGTAAATTTCTCATTTAAAACCGTTTCCTGTTAAGTAATTAATTTTAATGAACACAATACAAAACCAATTTTTCTAATAGTTTAACATAGTAGGCCTAGATTAAATTTTAACATACATTATCCTAATCTTATTTTTGTATTGGTTTTGCTGGGCACAGGAATGTGGACTGCAGTTTAGTTTTCAATGACCAAGTGAGCCATGGTTTGAAAAAGTCTGAGAAACACTGCTATAGGTAAACCAAATTAGGAAACATTTAGAAGCACCTATGCCATCTAATTAAAGTTACCTCATCAAAATCCCGTAGAATCCAAGCAGCCTTCATTTGAAAAGATCCTCCCTTTCTTGCAACTTCTAGAAGTTTTGAAGTGTGTCTGTCTAGTTCTACACAGAAGGTAGACTCCAATGGACGTGTGGTGATGCGCAGAAACTCCGCATTGATCGGAAATGTATACAGAAATTTTAAATTAAAAAAACAAAACACTACACCAAGACAACTTAATATGGGGTATACACAGTATAAGATGACAATATACCTCTTCCACTTCAAAAAGTGCCGGCCATCTCTCCATCACTTCTTTCGTTGTTGGCTCTTTGTGGACAATTTCTTGTCTCCGATATCCAAAGGTTCTTGCCATCTTCATTTTAATAACCTGTCTGTTGTTTCGCTTCTTCATTTCTTCCAAAATGGATATCCGCTCTTCTTCCATGCTCTCAGAAGTCTCACCGATTGGCAAGGAAGGAAAATGGTTGACCTCAGCTCTTCTAGGCTTTTTAATGTTCCTAGCTGGGTGGTCTTGTGAGGTTGAGGGCTTAGATTTTAAAGAGTTCACACTAACTTCAAGAGATGTCCCATGTGACTTGAGGGTTGACCTATAGTTTGCCATTTTAACCTTGAGCTTCTGCTTCCACCCCAAGGTTTCATCAAAACACCCAGCTTGTTTAAGACATGGATGCTTCATTATCAATGCCTTGGCCACATCAGCAAAGTCAGAATCCTCAGGATAAGCTTTGAATTTGTAGATTTCTTCAGCAAGTGTTTCTAGTATGTTTGAGAGCATTTTAATGCTGGGTGTCAGTCTAGACTGGTCCTTTGAATAGGTTGCATTCCCCTTCTGAAGCTGCATTTCAGTGTCATACTAAAAGGCAGGGATGTGGAAAACCTTGGGCCACTGTTGTGTTCTCAATGTTGATGGTGAGTGCTGAAGTATTATTGTATCGTCAGAATTGCCCGAGAAAGACTCCTCACCTTCTGACAAAATTGGATCAATCTCATATGAACTTGATGGTAACATCTGAGAAGCATCTACATCCACTGGATACAATACAACTGTAGCATCTGGATCAACCTTGATGACTTTAAGCACTGTAAGGTCTTTAACAACTTGCTGGTTGAAACCGCGTCCAAGTGGGAAATGGTTCCTGTGCAGATAGATTAGGCAAGGAAAAAAAATTCATTAAACACATTACATGTGAGGAAATTGAGCAAATTAAAATGTTTAATTTTATATTTTATAATATGAATGATTTCACATTTCTTAATTATACTACACAATTAAGTAGAGGTAGGTAATAAAGAGTAACAACTGCTTTATGGGACACAGTTTTGGAATGAATTGCAATTATTTTAAAGATAATTATATTCATGAGCAGTGTTATTCCCTGCAAGTGCTTTGCATGTGAACTGACAAAACTGAATTTTATTTGGAATAGCTGACCATTTATTAGATCCTTCAAATTAGGGCTGCTCCATTATGGAAAAAAAAAACATTATCACAATTATTTGGGTCAATATTGAAATCAACATTAATTAAAAAATTTTTTTAGTTACACATCTCTCTCTCTCTCCCTCCCTCCCTCCCTCCCGGGTGGATCTAAATTTCACGCGGCACGCTGTTTCTTTATCTCGTTTGGTTTACCGGGAAGATGACACACTGCGCTTTGTTTGGACACATATAGAACTATGTTAAAATGTGAGTGCTGTTTGTGCCTTTGAGTTTGTTTAGGGCGTAGTCGTGACGCGTGAGCACCTTCGCTGCTGGGAAATCGATGCAGTGTACTTTTTGGCTCGTTATCGCTCGCATTTAAAGCCAAGGAAAACTAGCGCTGAAAGAACGTTAGTTTTTCAATACCAGTACCGGAGTTTCTGTGGCGATAGCAGGGCTGCGCGCTGCAGCGGAGAGCGAGCGCGTTCATTTATATGTATATAATTTTAGTTACTATTAAATTACTATTAAACTAATTTAGTTTCATAAAGGGTATCCGTCTCTATTTGTTATTTGCGCAGTGTTAAATAATCTGTCGGTGTCTACGATGACAAGAAAGCGCAAGGCAGAGGAGAGCCACCTCAAATCCGCAGAGCCGCAGCTCCGGCGGACGGGAACACTTGCCGCTCTATCAGCCGCTGCCCGTTTAGGCCCGGGACTTATGCCTGCGCCATGCTGGGCTTAAAAGTTACACCTGGCCGTAGTGCGCAAAATGCGTAAACCTGGTGGTGCACTACTCGAAATTTGACAAGTTTGCACCAGTGTAAAATAAAAGCTGGACCGGCTCACCTCAGCATGTCGAGCGTTGGCGATGTAATAATGTTAGCCCAAAATGGCGGCCGCGCAAAACGACCCAATCTAAGATTCAACTTAGCACTCGTAATAAGCAAACATCTAACTATCGAAAACAAATCCCCTATTTCTATCGCTCTGATGACCCAGTCAATGAATTCAATATCTAGAAGATATAATTAAAACTAACTAGTAGTAAGAATGTATATTTTTAATCACCTCCAAGTAGCTTACTTTTCGTGTCTCTTTACATACAAATGACACATATATATACTAAGTAAAACAAGACAACATGTAGTTTTTACATTTTACATTACCTTTCTCCGTGGAGAAACTTGGCCGCGGGAAGGCGAGGTCTTGGTCACGCTTCTTGGGATGATGAAGGCCAGAGCACGTGGCACACATATCACATTCTACTGCGTTATTAGGCAGAGTCAAGTAAGGCTGTTGCCAGTGCTGCCCCCTATGTTAGATGGATTGACTTGGCACAGTGCATGCGCAAGACATGCTCAATGAGCAAACATTCATTGGATCAATTAACTATTGTAAATTACTGTTGATTTGCTTTAGCCAATTAGAAGTACATAGACAAAATAAATACAAACACAAGATTTAATGTGTATTGTTTAAATTGTACCAGCCAATTTGATTTTCTTTCTTTAAGCCAATGGGAAAAAACATATTCAATGAACAACAGCAATGTTTCACTTTTTTCAGTGCAGTAGGCCACTGTAGGGGTCCAAAGCAACGAACTACTCACCCGAGTGCGCTCCTCACTGATGTACAGTGTTGGGAGTAACGCGTTATAAAAGTAACGAATTACAGTAATGCATTACTTTTTGCTGTAACGCAGTAATGTAAGGCATTACAGGGGAAAAAATAGTAATATTTTACTCGGTACAAATGTGAGTAACGCGCGCGTTACAGTGTTTTTTTTTAACCTGGATTGAAGTGGTGGGTTTTTCTTCATACAAATTCGCTAAAATCACCTCGATATCAGCAGCGGAGAAACGCCGGAGATGCGCCCTCATAGACCTTCAGGTAACCGCGGGCGAAAGGACTGACAAAGAACTCCACACTGTTTAGACCTGGTTTAGACCTGGGTCAGTTCTGGTTTAGACCTGGTTTACACTCGTCCCTCCCTCTATCGCAGTTCACTTTTCGCTGTCTCGCAGATTTTTATTTATTTTTTATTTTTTTGTGCAATTTTGCATGCCCTGTTTTTTTTACATTGTATGAATGCGTATTGCGTTCCTCCCGCTGCGTCCTGACTGGCCAAGGGACTCCTGTCTCCTGTACAGTACAGAATGTGTTCAGCTGCCAAATTTAAATACATGTTCAATCTGTAGCAGTGTGATTCTGAAGTGCTGTATGTCTGCAAGTTTTCTCCCCGACGAAACCCACAACGTCGACGAAACGTTCTGCACCGACAAAGGCTCCTGCGCTCACACCCAAAAGGCAGAGGAAGATGCAAACCATCACACAGAAAGTTGGACTTCTGGACACGCTGAAGGAAGGTAGAAGTTACGCGCTGTAACAGACTCTTGCACCGGCTCGGGTACCTGCAAATAGTTGCTGAAATCAGGGCCGCGAGCCCGAGCAGCAGGGTCCATAAAGAGCGATCAGATGACAGCCGCTCTTACCTCCGTGAGGTGCGGAGCAGAGCCGCTCCTTTCTCCTGCGTCACCTTCGAGCCCATCCCCACAGTGAGTCCTGTTTTAGTCCTAGTTCAGTTCTGGTTTAGTCCTAGTTCACATCTGGTTTAGTCCTGGTTCAGCTCTGGTTTAGTCCTGGTTCTTTCCATATACAGCGCAAAAGTTATTTTGGTGAGAATAACTTAAAGTAATGCAATAGTAATGTAATGCCTTACATTTTAAATGCAGTAATATTGTAATGTAACGAATTACTTTGAAATGACAGTAATAGGTAATAAATAACGCATTACAGTTTCAAAGTAACTTGCCCAACAGTGCTGATGTATTCCAGGACATGTGGCGCGGTGAAGTCTCGCTGGGAAACGGGCCACGCAGCTCCTTCTGAGCCGAAGGTATAACGGGACATTTCCGTGAGACGTGGGCTGGACCATTCGAATAACACTAGCCACGACAGGGTGAGGAACGGAGCGGGGAGGGAGAACGGTAAGGAGAAGAAAGAGGAGAGGAAGGGAGGAAGTAGTAAAAGAGGAGGGAAGGATGGGTGAGTGACGGTGGAGAGGGGGAACGGGTGTGGGGTGTCATGAGACAGAACAAGTGAGATATGGGAGTGAGGGTGAGGAAGAGGTGAAGGAGGAAGAGAGGTCACAAAGACGAGGGAGGAGAGGTAAAGAAGAGGTGAGGGAGAGGGATGGGTGAGTGAGGAGGAGGGGGTAAGGCATTGACTGAATCAGGAAGAATATGTTTCCCTTGTTCTGTTTAGAATTACTGACACAGAGGGCGCTCATCACTTTACTTCAAACTTCAACACTAGAAGCTGCAATTGCTGCGAAGAGCAAAAGAAGAAGCAAAACAAAAAAGAAAGAAACCACTTTTATTGTGGAAAATAATGAAAATAATGCCCCCCCCCCAAAAAGAAAAACAAAAAAAAAAACTACAGGAAACCAAATGAGGTAGAAATACAGGTGAGAGCACTTGTGATCTATGCTGTGGACAGGGACTACTCAGGCAGCAGCTCGTCCCCCAGTTCCTCGTCCTCAAAGTCCTCCTCCTGACGCTTCTTGGCTCCAGTCTTGGGCCTATCCACCTGTGGTCCCAGGGGGTCCACATAGGATGCATCTGCGCACACGCGACAATTCCAGTGGGAACAAAAAGATGGGATTGTATGTGAGATAAAAACATCTTTCTTTCTTCCACCCTCCCATGTCTCTATCCCATCCTCCTGCCTCTACGCCCCCAGGTCTCACCCAGTTCCTTGGGATTGCTGGTCTCATAGGGCTCGTGGTTCCCAGGCAGTGAGCGAAGTCTGGAGCTCAGGCGCTCTCCTCGGCTGCTGCTGCTGTGTCCACTGTCTGCAAACACAGGAGGAGGTGGACCTTTAGTGGGACCAGGGCCAGCTTTCAGAGGGGGCAGATAAATTCAACGCTCCCCCGATGTTCACACCTCCTCAACAGTCAACATGGAGAACTCATACAGCACATGCATCAGACAGACACACAAGCTATCACGTTTTTGTGTCCATTAAATCCACTATAACAACTGCATGGGATTACAGTAGATTTATAATTTGAAAAAATGTGGTAAAATGTCAAAAATTTTGACATTTTTACGACAATTTCCAATTAGATCTAGTTTACTCAAACACTAAATATGATATCTAAAAGCCATCTGTACATTACTTATTTTGGTATGACAACATTACATGATGCAACATTTGTAGTACACTATTTTCTTACAGTTAGGTGAATGAACCTCTGATACTGGGAAACAGTTGCTGATTATGTCCTCATTGCTTGAGGGGCTAATACTAGTACAAAGTCATATATTTAGCCTCAAATGTTATGTGCATGCTTTTCTTTAACAATGATATGAACAAATTTCACTGTAAAAATATGAGCAGAGACAGAGACATTTTGTGCTGAACAGAAAACCATATGGGCCTGCGGGTTTGGCACAGCTGAGGGAAATTTCTCAGGTAGTCTGTGGAAGCACTCAGTGCTGACCTGTTTACCAGCAGAGCCCTGGTCCCCTGTCCCCAACTCTGGCTCACTCACAAGTTCCCCTCCCTAATAGCTGCCATTCAAATGAAGGCATCTTGAACAGGCTTAGATCCACAAACTTCCAATTAGTACCAAGAATACGCAGTCACATCTGAAGTTGTGTTCAGTTAAGGTTGTTCTCAGTGGTTGCAGCTGAGAATTCTAGTAGAAATGGTGTGGGCCACAATCAACAAACTTTACTGGAGTTTCAGGGATTGTGGATTACTGTTGCACACCGGGATAAACACATCATCAGAGATTGAAGAAAGCCAAAGCCTTTTACCAGACTTACAAAGCTCTAGACTCACGGTAGAACTGGATTTTGGCAGCTAATCATGCTGTACATTAATTAGGCTCTGAAAGTTTTTTTTATCTGAATGATTCAGCCACAGTCTCAGTGTCTGGTGTATTGTTGATTAGCATTAAATAACTTATTAATGAAAGCTTCACTCATCCAGGGAGGATCCAAAGCAAAGGAGACAGCAGTGAGGGACAGACGACAGCAGTGAGGGACAGAGGACAGCAGTGAGGGACAGAGGACAGCAGTGAGGGACAGAGGACAGCAGTGAGGGACAGAGGACAGCAGTGAGGGACAGAGGACAGCAGTGAGGGACAGAGGACAGCAGTGAGGGACAGAGGACAGCAGTGAGGGACAGAGGACAGCAGTGAGGGACAGAGGACAGCAGTGAGGGACAGAGGACAGCAGTGAGGGACAGAGGACAGCAGTGGACAGAGGACAGCAGTGAGGGACAGAGGACAGCAGTGAGGACAGAGGACAGCAGTGAGGGAGAGGACAGTGAGACAGAGGACAGCAGTGAGGGACAGAGGACAGCAGTGAGGGACAGAGGACAGCAGTGAGGGACAGACGACAGCAGTGAGGGACAGACGACAGCAGTGAGGGACAGAGGACAGCAGTGAGGGACAGAGGACAGCAGTGAGGGACAGACGACAGCAGTGAGGGACAGACGACAGCAGTGAGGGACAGAGGACAGCAGTGAGGGACAGAGGACAGCAGTGAGGGACAGAGGACGACAGCAGTGAGGGACAGACGACAGCAGTGAGGGACAGACGACAGCAGTGAGGGACAGACGACAGCAGTGAGGGACAGAGGACAGCAGTGAGGGACAGAGGACAGCAGTGATGAACAGAGGACAGCAGTGATGAACAGAGGACAGCAATGGCTTACCTGTCTTTATGTCCTCTATGCCGCGCAGAAGAGGGAGACAGGCGGTTATTAGGTTTTACTGATGTACAACTCACTGATTTGTTTATTGTAAATATAAACCAAAAATACTAGTAGTGTTTATTATATAAAAACCAGCATAGGAAGAGGTGAGGTGGCTGCAACCCAGGTTTTGCGGGCTCCAAGACTCACCTGTGCTCCCAGCACTGCCCTCTCTCCGGTTTTTGGCACTGCCTTCATGTCCTGACTTCACCCTCTGCACCAGAACAGACAAATAGGCTGAGCAAGAAAACTACAACTATACTGCTCCAGAAATGAAAGAAACACTTTCTCCATGTGAAATAATATAAATTTGACATCTCTACAAATACAGACAGGTTAATGTCTTAGGAACAAAAGGATGCTCCTCTTTTAATGGAAATGAAGAACAGGTGACACTAGCGCAAACCCTAAAACAGGACTGGTTTTACATGTGAAGGTCATTTCAAGTTTCTCCCTCTTGGTCTTTTTTGGCTTTTCCTCGAGTGCTGCTTTGGCTGCAGTGATCATCACTACTGGGAGTATGAGGCCATTACTTCAAGGGACAGTTTAGACAAATTTTGGACATAGGACCTGATTTCCTAGTGATCCACAGTGTTGGAGACGTGTGGAGACTTTTTTAAATATTCAATCCAGTCCTTGTCTTTGCAGAGGTCGCTGGTGCTAGGCTAGTGCATGTCAATGGCCACAGTTATCCTGCCCCCTGAAAGCAAAACCCAAAGCAATTCTGTTATTACACCAGACTGTCCATGTGAGTGTCTGTGTTGATGGAATAATTTTAGGTAAAACCAATCTTGCATTTGAAGGATTTCTGTGTGAGCAGCAGCAGTGAGTTGAACTTCCTGAGAGAAAGCTCGGCAGCAGCGGACTGATATATGAGAAAATAATAGTCCCTCAACATGTGACAATTCATGTGATGTAAGGTTAGTTTTATATCAGACATTATTCTATCAACACAGACATTCACATGGACAGTCTGGTGTAATAATAGATTTGTTTCGGGTGTTTTGTGGAGTGGGTACGACTGTTTTTAGTGGCAGGAGAACTATGACCATTGACATGCACTAGTCTAGCACCAGTGACCTCTGCAAATACAAGGACTGGATGGAATATTTTTTTAAAAAGTGTCTCCACACGTCTCCAACACTCTGGCTCACTAAGAAATGAAGCCCATTGTCCCTTGAACCCTACAGAAGATGCAGATTGTCCAACTTCTCCAGGGTGGTACATCTGGATGTGCTGTTGCAAGAAGATTGAATGTGTCTTCCAGCACAATCTCCAGAACATGAAGGAGATTTCAGGAGACAGGCAGTTACTCTAGGAGAGCTTTCTTCCTAAGACATTGCCCTGTCCATATTTAATATCCAGCATATTTATTTCACAATGTGATCTGAAGTGTTCCTTTAATTTTTTTGAGCAGTGTATATTGTCTGACATGACATTTTGTTAGAGATATTTGTATGGAATGCCATGCCTGATTTTACCACAAAAAACTCAACTTTTTTCTGATTCTAACTTAGACACAGACACCCCTGCAGAGCAGAGTTGGACACACACCTGCAGGGAAGGAGTTAGATGTACATGCAGGGCCTGGGTTAGACAGAAACCTGTAGAAACGGAGTTAGACACGTGCACACATGCACACACACGAGCACACACACACACGCACACACACAGCTGCAGGGGCGGAGTTCGACAAACTGGAATAGCTACACTCCTTCCCCGCATACTCCTCATGAGGCCTCTAGGCACTGCCAAGTTCAGCAGCTTTTGAATTGTTACTATGGATGGAGATTGGGCATTTAGTCCCACATTAAAAATGATATTGAATACCATGTTCGGTACAGTGATTATTGCAGTATTGCCTATCATGTTATTATCGGTGTCGTTAGTCATGTATGGTAAGGAACCGTAAGGGAATCGTATTGCCTGATGGTGCATACCTGTTTCCGGAGCTCCTTCATCTTCACCAGCTTCTTGAGTTTTCCAGCATACTCCTGAGCATCTGCCAGACCCCTGTCAGTGCACAGCCTCACCAGGAAGCGCAGGCCTGCATACAAGACCCAGTCAGAGCCAGCTCCTCCACACCACATACAGCTTTAAAAGCAAACTTTAAACTTACAGTCCACATTTTCTGGAAACCTGCTGTGGATTTTTTTATACGTTTCCAAGGATTTCTGGTAGTTTCCTGCAGAGATGTGAAATAGCATAAACATTTTTAATCAACAATAATTCTGACAGAAGACATATTTTGCTTGTGTCTGCTATTATAATCTGTCATCTGTGGATTATATTCTAATTTGCACATTTTAAATATTCAATATTCATCTAAATGGGAGAAGATTGGCAAAATGGCGTTTGAAAAATAAGCAATTAAAGATTGCTAAAAAAAAATCTCATCAAGTTTTGAAAAAGACAAAGACAGATACAAAAGCAGTGTCCAACCAGCACTGAGCAGCGAAATGTCTTTATTCTAAAATTTTTATCGTAAAGTTGACAATATTGCTATGAAGCCTACACGGAAACTACGGGATTGCACACAATTTTTAACCCTCACAGGTTAAAAATGTATTTTCTCACCAATTTATTTGAAAATAAATTTTTGGGTCTGATTGACCTGCCCCAAGAGAGCGGAAAGGAAAAAAAATAAAAAATTCTTCAGGTCTATGTGACCCCGAGGAGAGCGTGAATTTTTAAACACAGACAAAAGCAAGTGTCTTACCACTTCTTCTGAAGCAACTTGCGACCATGAGCTGCCATTTGACTTCTGTTGGTCTGCAAGTATAGAGTAAAGAGTGTCATAAGAACCCTGAAACAGCTTTTTTATAGTGCAGGTATAGTGTCCTTGAAGATTTAACTGGAAACACTATGGTATTTTAATAGCATTGTCTACTGTTCCTAGTGCTTTTTTGGCCATTTTAGCACAAACGAGGTACATCTGTAGTTTTCTGGTCAACTCCAAACTTTAGAGGCCACAGCCACTTTCTGATACAAACACCTGGCTGTAGGGGATACCGGTTAGGCCAATCACACAGTTCCTCCTCTCCCCCTCAATTGCACACAGTTTCATTGCTGTTTGGTCATCGGGTCAATAATAAATAATAAATAGCAATTTTGTTGTCCTGGAGTAAACTTACTGTATTAGCATGGCTCTTTCAAAGTATGGAATGGCCTTCTCAAAGAAATGCGTCTCTATGTGATAAGCTGCCAGCCACTCGATCACATCGATGTTGGACGGAAAGTACCTGTAAGACTGAGAGGGCAGACATCTGTGCAGTTGTATACTATAACATCTCATGTGTACTAAGCTCACTACTGCCCATATACCGTACACAGAAGAGACAGGAGAGTGTGACACATACACAGTGTTCACTTTCATACAAATAAACTTCATCAAGGCTAGCACTTATAGGGCTGAATTTGGAGCCAAGTTCCAAATTTGAAATTCAGTCAATCAGGCTGCTGAAGGCAACACCCCTTCCTCTTAGCAACACTGTCAATCAAACCGGTTGCTAACGCTAGCGGGAGCAAACCTGGGGAAAGACGGCACCTCACTGGTCTGTTATTAATGATCATATTTTGATTTAGGGACATAATAGTAAAATAAAACACAGGTTTTCAATAGGTGAGACCTGCCTCCCCTGGGGGGGCGCCAAAGAGCCACTAGGGAGGCGCGACACATGTGAAGAAAAAATAACGGTGCACATCTGGCTCACATTCACCCAATTTGAAAAACCCTGGTCTAAAACATATCTTGCATTTATTCAGTGGTAGGTGGTTTTATTGCTCAAAAATGCCTCTCCACAGATCTGACCTGTAACTTGGCCAGGCCACCGGCATTTATCTACCCTGATTTTAGTTGATACTGTTAAAAATCCCTGGCACAACCATAACATCTCCAAGGAGGCTGGCAGGTCTGTGTAGCTTTTGTGTTTTAGCGATAGTGATCATTGTAATACTGTATGATATATTGTGCACTTTGTGGGTGAAGAGTATGGTACAGTACCTCATAGTAGTAGTGGTAGGCCTGAGACTTGTCTCCTTCACAGTCGAGCAGCTCGCCCAGTTTAGCCAGGACTTTGGCGTCTGTGGGCACCACAGTGAGCACCTGCATGAGCCAGTCCATTGCATGGGGACGTTCCTCCACCAGCTCATAACTAACGCAGCCTGCTCAGGAAAACATGACCACTACATCATTCGACTAAGTCAAATGTCTAGGATTTTAATAGGACCACTTGAATGGCAGGGTAATAACACTAGAGCAGACCCACCAAAGCTGGAGACAAGTCAACAGCCAATCATGTGGCACCAAATGACCTGTTTTTAAACTTAACTTTAATCCTAATTCTAACCTGAACCTGAATGTGAAAAAGTACTAAAAATAAGAAAAATAAGATAAAAGATTTCAAACTGGTCAGAGAAGTGAGTGAATCCATTGTTCTGTTGAAAGTGTGGGTAGGATACAGAGAGGCAAGCTGGTACATGACCTGTGGACAGTTCCTTAGAATGGCGTGGAGCTTGTGGAAGCAGTCCAGAGCCTCCTTTAGTCGGTTTAGCCTCTTATAGGTCAGACCTGTGTGTGAAAGGAAGACAGGACAGAGAGCAAAGGGAAATCATCAGCATTCATCTTCCAGATAAACAACTGTGAGCACAATCCAGCCCATGTCTAAGGAAAGTCCGATTAGGGCGACATGGTTTTGTGACAATTGAGGTTACAAAGGTTAATTAAAAAGTAATCTCTGTTGAGAGTGCGTTAGAAACAACTCCAGAAACATACAAATTTGAGAAAACTGAAGTACGAACTGACAAACTAATTGATACTTTGCAGTGACATCACGCTGGGAGTGTTCTGCATGTATGTTTATGGTAGAAGGACTGCAACATAATGCAAACATTAACAAACACTGCCAAAAAGTTTTAACATTTGAAAACTCAAGAAAATACACTAAATGTGTTTAAACAACATTTTTCTCACATTTTCATAGTGATCAATGTGAGCATTCCTGGTCCTGTTTTGGTGGTTTTTGTTTTGTCCAACAAAAAAGGTGAGAGGGTCTAACTAAAAAAAACTGTTGGCTAATGCTAACTAACTTGCAACCTTAATCTTATTTGAGAGGGACTTGTTTATCAGTAAAAATCATCTCACCTTTAGAACTGTAACTAATCTAGTTCTTCAGATTGTGTTAAATTAAAGCCCTAAACAGAGGGGTGCCTACAGTTAGCTTCACACCCCCAGGGAATGTTGATGACATCAGCTGCAAAGAATCAATAAGGAATGTCAGGATTTTTCTAAAAACAATATGTTCTTCTCTGCATTCTATTACTGAATGAATGACCTTTGTGATTTGAGAACTGCACCAGAATCCTGAGCTTCTGATCTGACTGAGCCATTGTTCTTTCTCTAACATGTTAACACAGATGGAGTACAACAGTGCAAATACACAGGAGAAGCACTAGGATGCACATACCCAGGTTGTAGAGGGCCTCTGTGCAGGAGGAGTCGTCGTTCCGTAGGGCTTCTTTGTAGAACTCGGCAGCCTTCTCATAATCATGCTGGACGTACACAGTGTTGCCCTTGTTGGTGAGAGCAGCGGGGTTGTAACGGTCCGCGCTCATGGCCAGATCAGCATAGCGATCAGCCTGCTCAAAGTCCTTCTCCTGTAGGCAGACAACAGATTCAGGATCAGAAACTACTCTGAAGGGGAATTGTTGCCATGGAAACCTATAGTAAAGCAACTGTTACGTTCTTCTAAGGAATACAACAGTCATGTTTTTAGACAGGACACTGCAGCCACATTAGTGTATGAATGATGTATGCGTCACTGAGACGGCACCCGGCCCAGCTGTGACTGCAGTGTTGGTCCAATTTTGTTGCAGTGACAGTCACATGAAGAGCAGTGTTCTGCTGTTGCTGCCCCCATCTATGAAAGCTGCATGTGCGAGAACATGTGCCAAAAGCAACCAATTTAAAAGGAAACACAAACAAGTGTCAAGCTAGATTAGAGTCCCACAGTGGAGCTGCAACACAGCAGCAAGACCATGATGCAGCCCCGCTTCTGTCAATCCATGGGCACTTGTGGCTACATTACTAGCTTATCACCAACTATGGAGGGAAAGACTAATGCACTATAAATACTTTGAGCATTCAAAAAGCGCTATATTAATTGAATATATTATCTCCCCAAAAATTGTAAAAATCAAAAAGTAAACATGAAGATGTCAGTGACCAGTACCTATAGAGAGGACCTGAGCATCACAACATACCAGGAAGTAGAGGCCGGAGAGATTAGTGGCTGCTGCACTCTTGACCCGACTGTCCTTTTTCTCAAAAGTTTTCAGAGTCTCCACAGCCTGAAAATCAAATCACAGGGTTTAGTTCTGCTGGTGTCATTAGTTTACATATCGAGGATAAGTTGTGGCACACCGTCAGCACTAGGGGCAGAAGGCACTACGGACATCCACCGTAGACAGACAGAAGAACTACGCACTACACAGGAGGATTAGTGATCCTTATTTGTCAGGGACTATGTACAAATGAATTTATCTCACAAAAGAAAAGATGATCTGTACGTGATTTAGCTACTACATACAACACAGGTATTATATGCACAATATATCACCATCGATTTGAAATCACAATTGAGTTGCTGCAATTCTCAAATCACAAAGACTGTGATTATTTAGATAGTAGAATGTACTCTGCAAAAAACAAAATGTACTGATCAGACATGTTCTGAAATTTATAGAATGTTTGTATTAGTTCAAGCCATGTTAGAATGTGGTTACCTCACCTCACCTTTATCATTAATCTGTCTACATGTCAAAAGCTCAAAATGCTCAGTGCCACCTTGAGATGTCATGCAGTAGTAGGTTTCAAGTTAACAGCTACCTTTACCTTTGGTTCAGTGTGTGTATTATATCACCATGGTGACTGCTAAACATTTCACCATACAGATATGTTTAGAACATCCCCTTGTGATAGCTCAATAAAGTATACCTTCCCTTAACCCAATCTTAAGGATACCACAATACTTAAGTATCCTGCTGCATTTTTTTGAAGTATATTTCCCATTCATTTCTGCCATAAACTTAAAAAAAAAAAAAAATTTAATGAAAACTTAAAGCCTCCATCTTGTTGATGGAGGCTAACCAGCTATGTGGTAATAATAATTACCGCATTATTTCAGTCCAAAAACACATTAAACCTAAAATTCTACAAAAATTCTGTTTTAATAACAGATTACACTAATTTTGTGTTGCCTGGGACCAGAATACACACTTCAATACATTATGAAGAACTGAGTCCAGACAAGTGAATTTCTGTTTTTAAGATGGGCATGATTGATAGGTGGCTTAGCCAATCAGGGACACGCATGGTGCTCACTTACCAAAACGAAAAGCAATGTTTTACAAAAAAAAAAAAACATATC